GACAATTCATCGCTTAGGAAATAAGATACACTTTGCATATTATAAACTTAAGATATTATAAAGCTATGCCATTCTCTAAATTAAAATTTGAAAGTCTTTACCTCCTCCACTGTTTAAAGCAGATGTTTATAAGATTTTTCCATACTTCAATTTGGAACTTAGCTGAATGAATACCAGACTTAGTAATATTAACAAAATTAAGATTACAGATTTTGTTATTTCCATAAAAAATGATATTTACACCTACAATCACGTAGTGCCAAAAGACTGGGTAGAGCGAAATAAGCACAACTCATCGCAAACACGGCACCTTTCTATAGGGTGTTGCTCGGCTGAAAAGGACTTTAGCAGTTTTCAACATGAACCCCAAGCACGATGTTTGAATCCATTCTCCTGCATTCCAACCCAGTGGCTGCACATGACGGGATGCTTCAGCAACCATCAAGCTGCACCTGATGGGATGTTTCTCCCAGACCCCGCCTGCTTCAGAGCCCAGCACCTTGGTTAGAAGGTTCCTCTAGATCACTGGTATTCATTCTACTCAACACAACCTTTCTCACTACTCAATTTTGGGTGTTACCTCTTCAAATTGCTTCCTCTTTTGAAACTGGGGAAAAGAGTATTGATCCCACAACATCCTTTCACAGATTCAATAACATGTAAAACATGTAGCAGAACATTCTCAAGGGGCTGGGGATTTAGCTCAGCAGCAAAAGCGCCTGCCTGGCAAGTGCAAGGTCGTGAGTTTGGTTCCTGGTACCGGAGAAAAACAAAAACAAAAAAAGTGTAATAAGCAGAACATTCTCAAAATGTTGGCTTTTGTGGTATATTTACTATTATTCTATCAAATGAATTTCATTTGACATTACCTTGTATTTTCTTCCTGCTCTGACATAGGTGCAAAAGACCACTGGCATTCAACTATGCAAATGTTAAGTTTAGCCAAGCATGGTGGTGCATGCCTGTAATTCCAGCACTCAGGAGGCTGAGGCAGGAGGATTGCTGCAAGTCTGAGGCCAGCCTGGGCTACAAAGTGAGCTTGAGGCCAGCCTGAACTGCATAGCGAGACCCTGTCTCAAAAAGACAATCAATCAATCAATAAATGTTAGAAGTTTCTTCTTGTAAGCAAGCCTTTCAGACCTGGTCTTGGCCATCCTGGCTGTCTGACAGGCCCCTGGGGACAGTCCTGGCCTCTGCGTGGTATAAGTACGGAGCAGGCACTTCTCATCCCTGAACATTTTCTTATATCACTGGCCTGTACCTGTTGCAGTGGTGTTTTTATCTGATGGCCAATACAGGACAAAAGAATTACATTTTGTGCCTAACATAAATTTGAATCACTCTCAGGTGGTGCCAGAAGCTACTTAGCTAGTAAAATTAGCCATCTGCCAAATAGCTGCATATCAATTGTAGTATTTATAAATTTGGCAATTCCTTAAGATCTTTTTTTTTTTTTTAATTTTAAAGAGTAAAAGAAGGATAACATAATAATAGGGGGGACTTAGCAAATTACAGACAAAATGGTAGGAAATTATCAATGGTTATTGTTTTACATATTGTTATCTACAAAATAGTTTCTCAGGAAAACAAATAGACAAATAATAGTGAGTTAGAGACAAAAGAGGTAGGAGATTATCAAGAGTGGTTGTACTATACTTTGGTATCTTCAAAGTGGCTTCTAAAGAAAATAAATAGAGCTATACATGAGTGACCTATTGAAAAATCATTAACTATTCTCAATGGTTGTTGTAGGAAACACATAATAAACATACATCCATTTATGAAATAGGATAGGCATATTACAAACTTTACACAGTTATGGATAGATTAGTAGGAAAATATCAATGGCTGCTGTAGTACATGGTGGTATCTTCAAAGTGGTTTCTCAGGACTTAAGATCTCTTTGTCCCTCCAATTTTATTCTGTAGCTAGCACTTCACTAGTCCAACTACCCATCATCAGTGTCACCACCAGTACATTTTGGACGTTGCAATCAAGTCATTTATAGCCAGTTACTCACTCTTCTTCATCCCCTAAAAATCAGATCCCAAATATATGGATCTAAAGTTTGAAAACATCCAAATCTCTTAAGCAAAAGTATAGTGCTGTGCGACTCATGTAGCATGTGGACCAGGGGGAAAAGATACATTAATGTGACAGCAGAGACAGTCAAAACCACGTTTCCACCTCAGTTTCAACTGTAGTCCATGCTCCTGACTAGTCACTGCCACTAACGATCACGGACGACACTTTTTCCTTCTCGTCAACCAGCCCATTCATTTGGATACCGAGAATAGAACTCAGGACCTTGTGCTTGCCAGACAGGTGTTTGTGCCACTGAGCTATATCCCCAGCTGACCAGCCCATTCTTAACAAAGTGTTACCTAGGAAAATCCAGTCTGGTTTAGGTTCAGAGGTTTGAGGAGGGGTCTAGAAACCATTTCTCTAATTTATTTTTACTCTGATCCTGAGTCCACATCAATCTAATCCATCATGGGTTGAAGCAAGTATTCTATCCCCAAATTACCTTGACAACTTAACAAATTATCCCCAAATTTTCTTGACAACTTTATGCATTCTTGACAGACAGAATGGCACGATAAGAAGTAGACTATCTGACTTGGAATTCCAGATCTCCTCGCTTTAGTGATATAACTTGTGTGCTTCAGTTGAATAGAGAATGCTCATACTAAACTCAAAGGATTGCTGGGTGGTTTAAATGAATAAATACTTTAAACAGTTTTAATGATTGTATTCTTAAATATTTTAAGATTTTGTTCTTTAAATACAAAACATTATATTCAATTCCTAATGTGATTCAGGTCAATATATTTCCAAAAATGATTTGGTGCTTGGCTTGAGCTCCACCTGGTGGTTCTAAGGTAATTCTCTGCATAACATTAGTCAAGTAAAAAGATCACAAATTTCAAAAAGATAAGCTATTTGTATAAAAGATTAAAGGACTGTGCTGTACTTTTCAATTTATTAATCTTGAAGAAGAAAGTGGAAAGGTTATCACATCCCTGAACTAGGCTTGGAATGCCAGTCTAAGTCTTCTGCCAAAATCCGAGAGGGGACAAATCCTGATGCCACTGCAGCTGACGAACTCAGCGCCCTAGACCTAGTCTGAATACAACGAAAAGCAATTTCTGTTCAGTAGCCACTGTTCAAAAGACCCTGACACTCAAGAACATGATTCCCAAGAACGTTTAGGGGTAGTGATTTGTCAACTTTTAAATTAAATCCAAATTTCATGATTAGACCAAATTCGGTGGACGTCCTAACATCACAGAGGGGCCTTGAGGAGAGCACGAAGCTTTTTCCACTGGAGCCGAGTTAACCGGCCACACAAAATGTGAGTGAGTACCTGGCAGCATCTCTCACTTCAATTAAAAAAAAACCCAGTTAGAAAACACCGGCCAACAATGCCAAAATTTAAACGAGTGTCAAGTGTGTAACATCATTAATGTAGACGGTTCCTGCGATGAAATAAGGTAATGTTAGTGTTGTCAGCGGCTTAGATGGTAACATTTTATTTCACGAATAAACATTTACGTACCTGCATTTTCCTCACAAAAGCTACTGTTACAACTATACTAAGACAGACCACAAACGACATCTTTCAAATCACATCTTGTCTTTGGAAGGGCGGGGAATCAACTTCAGGGCCTCGTGCATGCCAGGCAAGACCCTGCAGCTGAGCGACATCCCTAAATTTTTCTTAGCTTTTTTTCAGAAAATGTAGTAAAATTATTCACTAACTTTTCAATACGCTATTGAGTACACTGAGGAAAACTTTTATGCTAAAATTATTTCAAGACTTTATCGGCAGTAAATTTTATAGACTGCAGTCTCCTACAGGATTTGCTTTATCTTGATTATCTGTATCGTGCCCGAGTCTAGCAGTGTTTGTGTGGTAGTTTGTAACCTCATGGCCAAGGGACTCTCTTCTAATTCATTTCACCTGTGCTTGGTTTTCCTGTCCAGTTGATATCCTGTTCTGAGCAGATACACAGCTCTCAGCTCCATAAGGCTGGATACTTTGTTTTGACCCATCTCTCTCACGCTAGAGAAAATTCCTGGCACCTGGTAGATATTTAATAAATATATTTCAGCAAATTTCGCACTTCACAGAGAATGCTGAATTTAGATAGCATAATTACACTTAAATGAATGAAACTAACAAAGCACAAGACAGATTTAACTATGACCACAGTGGTTACAGAAGTTGTTTTGTTTTTGGTGTTTGGACGGCGTCACTTTGTAGTACAAGCTGGCCTCAAGCTCAGTGACCCTCCTGCCTCAGCAGGGATTACGAGCATGTGCCACCACGCTCAGCCACAGAGGTGTCTTAGTACTCACCTTTAATCTGTTCCAGGAGACAACTAGTACCGAAAACAAGTATCAAAGTATTTTAGCTGGGAAGAATATGGAGTCAGAAAGTCTTCAACATCAACATTTGTAATTTGTGTGTTGAACACTGGAGCAAAATTTTCCTATCAAAATGTGTCCCAATACCAACAATCTTCAAAGCAGCTGAGCACCAAGGTAGGACTGTAATTTCACTGTAGTAACAGCATTCCCAATAGCATAGTATTTCTCAGAAAACTAGTATTAGAGAGTCAAAGCAGAGTCTCTTTAGTGCTAGATCGCTTCATAAAACTCTATTTCTATTAAGCTGACACTTCCTGTCCATCTTTGAAAATAGAGCATTTCCCACAAAAACGTTTTAAAAACCATCACCTGAAGAAACAGATTCTGAGGAAGTCTCTGGGAAATGCTGCATATTATTTTAGGCTACACAATGTTAAAACTAAAGAATATTAGTTTCCAAGAAAAAGATATTCTAATTTCCTAAAAAAAAAAAAAAAAAAAAACAACAACAACACTGTTTGGTATGTTAGCATTCTACCCGAATTTTAACTGGGAAGTCTGGTGTTCTCTAGTACTAGAAAAAATTCAAGAATATATACATATAAAAGATCAAACTTTACAATCTACACACAAAATATCTTTTATTTTGATTTATACAAAATCAAAACTCTGAACAAGTACTGCTTATGAGATCTACTGTTGCATTTTTAAATGATGGGACTATATAACAGCCTTTAAAAAATGAGTTCACTTGAATTTTTGTCAGTACAACATTACGTTAGTGACTGTAATTACCAAGTTGTATGAAAAGTTACAACCACGTTAATGCTTCACAGGATTTGATGTCTGATATAAGACCTGAATATTGATCAACTTCAAACTAAAGTATCAATACAGCTTTTATCCAATGAAAATACTTTATTCAAATACTTTACTCAAATATTCAAATACTTTATTCTTTTCCCAAAACAAACCAATTATTCTGAGTTTGAAGCGAAGAAAAAAGGCCAAGTTAAAATATGAACAGAAACAGCTTTCATTCAGGGGGAGCTGAAATCAGTAGATACTTTCTGATCAAGCATCTGTCCCACACGGCAAGTTAGGGTCAGGGTCTACCAGGCCAAACCCTTTGCTGCCTTCGCTGCTTTTGCTTTGCTTTTCCCTTTTCTTCTCTCTCGCTTCGCCTTCAACCTTTTTCTCTGCCTCTGGTTCATCCATACCGGGTACTGGCCATTCTGATCTAGAAGAGTCTTTTTGCTTCTCTTTATTTCGGTCTCCATTTTCATGTCATCTAAATTAAAAAAACAAAACAGGAAAGACTACTTAACATTCATGTTTGAAAAACCAATCCTGTGAAGGCCCTTGAGTACATCAAGAACTGTCGGTACGGTAGTTTAAAACTACAAAGATAAAAACCCTGGTCTGTGGAATGGTCTTTGTCACTACAAACTTCTTATGGCAAACTCAATGCAATAGACGATGCTATCTTGTTTTCCTACAACCGTGAAAGATCTAGAAAAAAGTTTGTGCAGTAACTAAGGACACCGTCTGTTGACTCAGGGAGAAATTTAATGAAGAATGTTGTCCAACTGTCCTTTGCAATAACAGTTAAACAGGAAACATTTAGGACACAGTATGGCTTAGTTAACGCATCAGTGGGTAACATATGGCTCTGAACACATGACTTATAAGGGCATCTCTCATGCTGATTCCTGGAGAGAAATCAGATAGCGGAGGCAACGAGAGATACACTCATGCTTTGCATGGGCAGGACTCAGAAGTGAATAAACTAATTAGAAATGACTATTTCTTATGAACTTGAACTAAATTTTTAAAACTGTATTTTTATTCTTTCTGTAGTGGTTCTTGAACCCAAAGCCTTATACATTCTAAGCAAGCATTCTACCACTGAGCTATACCCTCAGTCCTTTTAATTATTTTGAGAAAGGATCTTGCTAAGCTCTCAAACTGGCCCTGAACTTGTGATCCTGCCGTCGCAAGCCTTGAGTAGCTAGGATTATAGGCATGTGCCGTCATGCCTGGCTTAATTGGAATTACATTCTAATGGACTCAGAATGAATTCCAAGTGAACTGGGTGGCATGGTCAGCAGCAAGGGTGTGATGAGAGATGAGCAGACAACAGAAGAAAGAGCCTGACACCCGCCGAGGCTGCCGTACACATACCTAGACAACACCTACTGACCTAGTCCTACTGACAGGGAATTTGGCGGAAAGGCCTGTGCAACCGTGCTGTGCCATACCTATGACCAACCTCATCTACTGGGAAGGGACATGCCCAGAAGAACCTTCCCTGGGACCTAACCATGACATATAAGATCTCCTCCTACCTTTTCCACCTGACCTAAACAGTGTGTAACAGCCACTTAGTTACAAATTGTTGAGTAATTTACAAACTGTTGATTATTTTAGGCGTTCTAGTTACTGGGGATATCATGGTCCATAAAAGCTCCTTGCCCTCGTGGAATTTATAACATTCCGTCAAGGGAAGAATAACAAAGGAAAAAGAAAACTTCAGTGTATGCTAAGTGGTTTTTAGAGATGTACTGGAACCAGAGCGGACTTCAGTAAGACGCGCTGGCTCTGAAAGCACAGGGAAATAAAATGAGGTTTTAAGCATGCAAGTGATGTAAGTGGATTTATATTCTAAAAGATCACACTGACCAAATGCAGAAGATAAAGCAGAAGACAGAAGCAAAACGGTTATTCTCAATGGCCTATGTAAGAACAGATAGTCATCTGGGTTGCGGTAAAAGGAGGAAAGCAGAAGAAAAATGGAGATTGCTCCTATAAGCTTAGGAGAGTAAGATTTGCTCATAGAGAACATATGGAAGATAAAGCAAAGAGGGAACAAGGATGACTACAGGTTTATGGCTTAAGAAGTTCGTCAGGAAGCTCCAAGAGTAGAAACAAGGTGAAACATGAACCTGTGGGCAGAATAAGGAACCATGCTGAAAACAGACAAATGGGACCTTCAGCCTCATCCTCACTTAGCTCTTGAAATACACCAAGGATGAGGGTATCCAGATATTCCCCAGGCAAGAGATGAGAGAACTCCTCTCTGAGGATAATGAAAAAAGAAGAGACAGATCCTAATATAGGCAATCTGCCAACGAAACATCGTAAGAGAACATTCTATAGGTGCCCCTGTTGATATAACCTCCCACCCCCTCCCCATACACACATCCTCACCTCCTCTGGCTTCCCATCATTTTGGTGCTTCAAGTAATATAAATAATGATTACTGATCACTAGACATCTGAGAAAAACCTCTATTATGAAAAATAGAGACAAAAATAAGGAATGAGGCTGGCCGCAGTGCTGCACACCTGTAATCCCAATACTCGGAAGACTTGACACAGGAGTTCAAAGCTAGCCTAGGCTACATAACGAGTTAAACTTAAGCCTCGACCAGAGACAAAGAACAAACAAATGAAAGACACGGAAGGGCAAGAACAAAGGGAGAAAAATCCAGGACAAAAAACTGACACTGCAGAAAGTAGATAAAGGTTTCAAAAACAAACTGCAAGGATGGGGATGTGGCTCAGTGGTAGAGTTCTTACTTGCATGCACAAGGCTCTGGGTTTGATTCCCAGCACCACAAAGAAAAAAATATGTAAGTAATAACCTCAGGTCAGAGAAGATATGTAACCATTAAGGACAGGAGGTTATAAAAAAAAGAAACGATAAAAGGGAGAAAAAACTTTTGGAAGTAAAATAGTAAAAATAAGTAACACAAAACTTAGTGAAGTTGAGAAAATCAAGAGTATAACAAAAAGAAAAAAAAGGGAGAAAAAAAGAAAATCAGAGAATCAATCCAAGAGACCCAGGGATGCATGAGCATATGGCGTCCAGAATTTACAAGGAATGCCTACAACCAAACAAAAGAGAGACAACCTAATTTTAAAATCAGCCAAAGGACTTGAATAGATTTTTCTCTGAAGAAAATAAAGCCAGTAAGTACATGAAAAAATCTTCAACATCACTACGTTGTAGGGACAATGCAAATCAGTCACAAGACACTCCTTTATACCGAGGAGAACGGCTATAATAAAAATAGCATGGAAAATAAGCATTAGTAAGGGTGTGAAGAAACCAGAATCCTACACTGCTAGAAGAAATGTAAAATGGTGTAGCTGATGGCGAAAATGGTAAACAAAGAATTAGCATATGACCCATCTACTCCATTTATTACTATATGCTCAGAAGAACTGAGAACAGGTATTCAAGCAAAAACTTGTACAAAAATGTTCACAGCAGCACGGTTCACAATTCCGAAGTTGCTCCCAAATGCCTATAAATTAATGAATGGATAAATAAAATGTGATACATATAATGGCCTATTTTCAACCTTTAAAAGGAGGTACTGATAAACACTACAATGTGGGTAAACTTCCAAAACATTATGCTAAGTAAAAAAAGTGAGGCACAAAAGGCTGCATATTACAGTATAAGATTAATTTAAGACCCGTGCAAAATAAACAAACCCAAGAGACAAAAAGGACATTAGCAACTGGCAGAGAGTAGGGGCTGGAGGAAGATGGAGGCTGTTTAGTAGGCAGGGTTTCCGTTCAGGGTGAAGAAAATGTTTTGGAACTAGAGGTGATGGCTGTGTAACACGGTGAACATGCTAAATGGCACTGAATGGTACACAATACTTTTATATGAATTTGCCTCAACAACAATAAAAAATACAGTGAATGGGCAGGGGTGTCATGGATGTGAAGAAAGGAGGACACAAAGCAAAAGCAAGTGTTTCAAAAGTTTCAAGGACTAAAATAAAGCAGACTGAGAGCAACATGAATTCAACGAAGAAATTTTTCTTTCTTTTTCTGACATGGGACATCTCAGAAGACACACTGCTGAGAATGACCCACCACAAGAAACTGATAAAGACACGTGTAATTACAGCCCTTGAGAATGCAAGAGAAGACTCAACATAGGTGGAGAAACAGGCCTCTGAGAGACTAATAAAAGAGGGAAAACAGACCACACACTCAAATTCTGATAAAGAGCAGTCATGGAAAGATGACACTATGTGTATTGATTTTGCCTCTAATTTTTAAAGGAACCAAATTTAAGAGATGTTTTTGTAATTTTTAGTGGAATGAGATGAGAGATGGAATAGAAAAATTCTAAAAGAGTCATTTTGAAAAATGGAAAAGCAAACTTCTAGAACTGGAAGGTCAAAGAATACTGTTCTCTTCTTTGACCATGTAACACCAAATAAATGTACATCTATTTTAAGACCCTGAGTGTTGTGAACCCTTAATTTAGCTTCCTGCCAAACTGACACATTAGGATGTGAAAACTAGGAAGACTTTTCCTCTGCTGAAACCAGCACAGTATACTGCCTCCAAATGAGGAGTATGACTAAGATACAAAGTCCTTAGAGTCTGACAAAATCAAATACGATGGAACTGAGATTTTCAGGGTGATAAGTGCACAGGACTTACAGAATGGAAACTAGACCTTGCAAAGAATAAAATCACCTCTATCTGCCTAGACTGAATTGTGTACCCTTCTAATCAGGGCATGTTTAGGTTTGTCTATTCCTGATACTCAGGCTATCATGAAGACCCTTCTGAATAATCCAATACGTTCCTAGTCAAATGAACTGGACTTTAAATAGTTTAGTACAGACTCTCTTGTAGCACTATGTGCCTTCAAGGAATAAATAAATGCACACTGTTGGTGTGTAGAGGAGAAGATGTGGAGATGGATCGAGGACAATCAAAAAAGGAAAAGAAATCACAACATTGATAAAATTGCATTTTTTTAAATGAAGCACGTAAAATTACCTTTTTCATCAGGATTCACCACATACTCCATTTTCTCCCGGCACTGTTTGGGCACCACAACAGTTGCAATCTCTTCAACATCTTTCATTAGAACATCACAGTCTACTTTGAGAATACTTTTAAGTCTGTTGAGCTCCTTTGGGGCATTCTTTTTTCTCTTTTCAGCACGCATTTTTCTTTTCCACTTACTCCGTAAACTTTTAGCCATGTTTTACCTGGCAGTTAACAAAAACACATACCCAAAAGTAAATTATTTATTATAATAAAAGGCAAATCCTTGGAAATCATGCCTTTACAATACAGGAATACATAGAGGGTGAACTCTTCACTGTGTTCAAGATTTAGGGTGAGTTAATGCGCCACTCATGTGAGATCAACGCGGCACGTGTGGCCATTAAATAACAAGAACGCCAAATTAAACTCCCCTGGGCAATGACAAACGACACTGCACCAATTCTGAAAGCTACTCAGTTTACTTATAAGGTCCTGAAATATCATTTCCCTCAGAATGCAAGGACTGTCATCACCTCATATTTATGTAAAAGTTTACAATTTACAAAATAATTTTTACAAAATCATTTACTGCGCTGTTCCTCATTATTCACCCACTCAAGCCAAGCCAGCTACCTTAAATGTATCTACTTCCATTCCTGCCTTCTCTCTACCTCCTAGTCCCAGCCCTGAATCCTTCACGAAGTGGTTAGTGTGAACAGTGCCGTTCTTAAAAAATTTTAATGCCTTCTCCTCTAATATATTCCGACTTACAAGGCTGAGATCTGTCCTCTGCCTCCTTCGACTCTGTCTCACACTCTACCCGCCTCATTCCCCCCGCATTACATCTGTCAGAAGTCCAACTATGTTTACTTCCGCGTCGCGGCATTTGCTGTTCCTGTGCCTGGAAACTGCTCTTCCCAAGGACTGCCGCCTCTTGCAGCACCTCAGAAAGTACACTGCTGACCCCTGCAAGCTACCCGCCGCTTACTATGTGTTACAACCTGGCGCCACGGCGTCACCCTCGATGGACTGTGCACTGCACGAAGGCAGAGATTAAAGAGCTCTTGCTCCCTGTTGGATCCCTTGGTGCACAGCGCTTTGCATAAGGAATAAACATCCGTTGCCTGGGTGACCATAGTTTGAACCCGCTCAATCACAAAACTCCGTGTCCCTGTCTAAAAAGACCCAAACCCTGCGCGAAGTGCTGCAGTAAACAAGTCTGAGGAGCGAAGTTAATCTTAGCGGGGCTGAGTGACAAGGGCCGGCTCCACTCTACACCTCCCAAGCGTAAGCCACAGGGAACCATCAAACCATCAGAGTCCCGCATCTTCAAACCCGAGGTCAAACTTGCCCGAAGGGGAATCAGGGCTGGAGAGGAACTTCTCCATGAGTGGCAGGGGCGAGCCCCAAATCCCAAGTCCCAGTGAAACTCACCCGAGAAACGCTACAGCACGCTCACCGCAAAGACCCCACGCCGACCGGAAGTTCCCACACTTCCGCTTTCCGGCCCTGCCGGGCGCAAGGCATGCCGGAAGCCAGTGCGTCAGAGACGCCTTGAGAGGCGGGGTCTCTGGGAGTCGGTTGCCTGGGCGCCTTTCGCCGTGTGGTGCCAGGGATAGAGCTAAGGGCATCACGTGTGCTAGGAAAGTAGTGTACCATGAGCCACACTCCTAGGCTTCAGACCACGCAATTCTGTGTTGTATTCTTGGTTCCAACACTTGTGAATGAGACAGATGAATACTGAATGTCTTAGATCTTGGGTTTCATTGATCCTTTATAGGTGATGAGAGCTGTAGAAATGGTAGCCCTTTTTCCATACTGTAGTTTTAAAAATATAGATAGCCGGGGCTATTTGCAAACAGGGTCTTCTAGAGATTTAAATATACACTAAAAAACAAGAAAAGAATTGTCTTTAGTGATGGCGTAGTAAATTTCTTTCTGGCTGATGGTAAAGAGATTTCTTTGTGACACAACTTGTGATTACTTTTTCTTCTTTAAATGCGTGTCCTTTAAGAAACCATAATATAAAAATCACTGAATTCAGAATATTGCACTTTTAAAAAACAGGCTGAGAAATTCATAACATGAGCTATTTTTTTTAAAGGAAGAACATTTGGGAAGCCTCAGCTCTTCGAATGGCAGCTTACGTCCTTATAGAGCAAGTGAATTTCTATTTTATAAGTTACCCTTGTACCTAGACTTTCAAATTAGAATGCAGCCACTTATCCCCAAACAGTGTATATATACATATATATTGCATTTTAAATTAGAAAACGTTCTTTCAGATACTCCAAATTGACTACATCAAGCTTAATATACTAGGCCAAAACTTTCCACCAGAAAACTTGGCACCAACTAAAAAAACCACTTAACTATTATGAAAACGTCACAGTATTAAAATAAATGCCACAAACTCAACATTACAAATACCTTTAAAAGCTGAAACATGAGCCAATTATTGAAAAAAAAATTTTCCCTTTGTCCCTCACCAGTTTGTATGAAAGTACTGTAGTTCTAACACAATTAGCTAAATGATCTTGGTATACTTCTTTTGAATTTTTCTTTTGGCCTTAATATATGTAAAATCCTTAGTCTACTCATTCATACCTTCCAGAATATACTCTGTAGCAGGCACCTTGCTGAATATACAAAGGTCATGGAAACCAAATGACTGTATTTGGAAAACTTTAACCCTGGTTTAAAGGTCCCTTCTTCACAGAGCTGGAAGTAACTGATGAAACTAGAGGTACACTTAAAAAAAAAACTGATCACCTATCTAAAAGCCCTTCAAGCCTACTAGCACCAGCCAGTGGGTGAGGCCCCTGGGGCCAGTCCTCTCCATGGAATCTGTGATGTGCACAAGTGACTTAATAAGGAACAGGAAGATTTCTGGAATTCAGGTGGTGACCCTGTATTACGAATTCCCTAGATGGAGACTTCAGAGCTCAAGTCTCTCAAAGCTGTACAAAAGACAAAAGTAGTACTTGCTCCAAAAAGCCTGTGACTAGCTGTTGACATCACTAATCCTCAGAACTACATTTAAGTGGATACAAGCCAGGCCTGAGGCCTGCAAAGAAAAAGGTGGGTACACGACTCACTGCACCGCTTTTCCCAAATGATAGAAGTTTTCAGATTCTTATTTTCTCTCCTTTTCCTTCTAGCCTTCATTTTGTTCTGTGCACACAGAGCTGCCTGTTGCCCAAGTCCTGCTAATTCCACTTTTCAAAATACTTCCCAGATCTTTAATAGTTACACCTTTACTTCATATATAAAAAAAAAATTGAAGTTATAATGCCCTATGTCCTGTAATTCTCTTCTCAGGATACTTTCTCCCTACTTATGTACACTCTCATGCCTACACACAGCAGGACACATACAAAGATGTACAAAGCAGCACTGATTAAAAGAGTAGCCATCCAAAATTCACTGGCTGAAAAATGTACATAATTGTGGTTCATTTATAAAGTGCAGTATTTATACCAGTACTTTTCAAACATTTTGATCCTGGGTCCCTTTACAGCTAACAGTTATAATACATATCAAAAAGTAAAACATAATTTTTTGGAGATTTAAGTAATCAAAAAGGATAAACATGTTAGATAGCATTATGAAAAATGTATTTCTTAAAATAATGAAAATATTATTCTTACATTTTTAAAATGTCATGTTTTTGCTTACTTTTATTCAACTTACTCGGATTGAAAATGACATTAACTGCATACTTACTTTATATATCTATCTCATTTCATCCTTTTAACAACTCAATGAGGTATTACTATTCCCATTATAAAAATTAGGAAACAGACCTAAATAAGGCAGGCTGAATAACTTGCCAAGCAAGCAGTTGGTTGTATATTAAAAATTATAATCTAAAAAAAATCACTATACTATGTAACGTTTGATTGTATTGTTTCCTGCAACTGAGGGATTACTGCACAAATAACTGATAACCTGAAAGTCACTAGAGACTAACTCTATATTATTAATAGCTAGGAAATGATGCTTAGTGAAGTCTGACAGCTGACTTGTATCCCTGTGATGAAGTCCTAACCTCTGGAACCTCAGAATATGAATGTGTTTGGGGATGAGTCTTGAAAGAGATAATTAAGGAAAATGACGGTGCATGCCTGTAATTCCAGCACTGGGGATGAGGCAGGACTGCTGTGAGTTCGAGACCAGCCCTGGCTGCACAGTGAGGTCAAGGCCAGCCTGAATGAAGTCTGAACTGCATAGCATGATCTTATCTCAAAAAGAAAAAAACGGAAAAATGAGGTCGTTACGGTTAGCCCTCATCCAATGACTGATTTCCTTGTTAGAAAAAAATTTGGACACAAAGGGGAAGACCAGGTAAAGACAGCAAGAAGACATCCTACATATACAAGCCGAGGAGAGAGGCTTCAGGAAAAAACACAACTCTTGGACTCCCAGCCTTTAGAACTGCAAGAAAATAAATTCCTGTTTAAGCCATTTGGTCTGTGGTACTTTGTTATGTCAGCCCTGGCACACTAATACAGTGGTCCCCTCTTACCTGTGAGAGATACATTCCAGCGCCCCCGTGGATGCCTGAAACCACAGAAGTACCAAACCCCATCTATGCTGCTTTTTCCTGTACATGTGTACTTCTTATAAAGCTTAACATAAACTAAGCACAGTAAGAGTAACACTAATAAAATAGAACAATTGTGACTATGGATGTGGTATCTCAAAACACTGTACTGCATTCACTCTTATGATATGACGCTTATATGATCAGATGAAGTCAGGTGAATGACAGGGTACTGTGGTATAGAGGTAGACTACTGCCCATGAGGAGGTAGTAGGTACAGGGTAGATACACTGGACAAGAGGATCATGACTCAGGGAGGACAGAGCAGAACAGCATAATGTTGTATCGTGCTACACAGAACCTATACAATTTAAAACTTTGTAAATTATTTTTGGAATTTTCCGCTTATTTTCCACAATGGCCTTTAGGAAATGGAAACCACAAACCATGCAACTGTGGATAAGGGAGGAATCCTGACAGTGAAGAAATTTGCCGAAATGGGTCACTGGTATACTTACCTATATGCTGTACGGACAAACACAAATGGAACTACAAGGCATTTTTCCAAATATTTTTATTTTCAGTATATATACTTCAGGTCAGATGGCCCAGTCTCTCTGGGGTTCTTTAACAATATGACCATCATTTTAAAATGAACCCTGTACTTAAAAAAAAAAGTACTGTCAAATTTTATCTGACTTTCAAGAAGACCTTTAAATTTTAATACTAATCTTATAGTTTTATAAGATGTCATTAACAGAATATAGTTTTAATCAGTACCGAATAATTCTCTGGAGTTTATCTTTTATAATTTTAACTCTATGAGATTAAAATCTAGTGAAAGATTTACACTTTATAATGGTACACTCTAGTACTTCAGAATCAAAATCAAATCTGTTACATAAGGGAAATTTACATTAAATCACCAAAGACACATTGATGTTGTAATATAAAATTATTCTGAATTGCAAATGAACACTTGGGTACAGCCAATTTATGATTGAAAAATAAAAAAGACAGAATTTTTATATCTCTTACTTGATTTTTAAGGATTTAGAAATGAGATATACCATAAAGAAGAGTGAGATCTTCAAGCTCAGAAGTACACAGAATACTAATAAAGATCATAAAAGTATTTAACACTTAATTAAATATCAAACTTTATTACTTAATGAAATAGTCTTAAATACTGCTTTCAATTACTTTTTTATTACTGCTTCCAAAAACCGTAACACGTGTAGGAACAGATTGATAATATCCAAGTAGAGGCTGATCGCAGCGAGGACATACTCTTCAGGAGACAATTTATGCATCAGTGAATGAGTGTCATAAATGATAAATCCGCAGAAAAGAAGGGCTCCTCCAGCAGCCAAGACCAACTCCATTGTGTCACTATGAAAAAATATCTACAGGCAAGAGATTAGAGAATACGATTATATTTGGAACCATATTAGCAGTACTTACTTCCACTAATAACCTATTGCTATGTACATGTTTATTAACGACGTACAATTTTGAATACCTATGTTAAAAACAAAGAGGCAAGGCAGATCCGAGCTTGCTTCTGTCTGGTGGAGGGATGAATGAATGGCTGTCTTTTTCTCTATTAATTTACCTGCTCAACTTTGAAAACGAGCATTCCAAATACAAATTATTTTAAGACACATTTCTTCTTTAGAATTCAATGTGCCACTTGGAGGCTGGCCGCCGTTACATGCGTGGGCCTCTTGCTACGTAATTTAACTCATTTGCTCACTCATCTCTCTTGCAGTCAGTAAGAGTGATAAACAGCCTTGACTGTTTCAGAGACTATTCTGTAATCCTTCCATATAAGTTTTCCAGATCAATATAACCAAGTACCTTTTACATCAACATAACCAGACTTACATTTCAAATTAGCCATTCTAAAGCAACTTACCTTCAAGAACCCTGACAGGCATAAAATCCACAGAACAGCAAACAGCCTATAAAAACAAAGTTTTATTAAAGTCGAATATTCTGTCTTACAAAACAAAAACAAAAAAAAACCCTGAGGTAGACCCACTCAATATTTTCTGAAGAAATGAATTCATTCAAATTTTTACCAAAAACCAAAGTGTAAGAATTCATAAATATACAATAAATATTTACAACATCCCTCCCCCCTTTTTAAAACTAAGGTAGTCTGACATAGTTTCATAGATACAGGGAAAAGACATGAGTCTCCTAGGTCTGAGATTAGAAAAGAGAATCAGTACTTTTACAACAGAGAGCTCAGTTCACATAGGGTAAGGCTAAGAGGGCGAGATGGTACCGAACACAGGTACGTTATATGAGAGGAACCTTGAATTCAGGGAACTGAATCTTTTTTTAATGGAGAGTGGCACACTTGCTCTTTGCTTTGCAGGCAGTCGCTGTTAGTGTTCAAGGCTATCACAAAAACCCCAGTCTGAAACAAAGGCCCGCTGGGGACTGGGCTGTGCCAGGGCGAAGCTGTTAAACACAGTGCTCTCCGGATACACTGGGAAGCTCACAGGTTTAAAGACAGGAAAATGCTGCAGCTACGGGCGGCTGGATCTCAAAGGATTCATGGACAATAAACCATCAACCCTACAGATCAAACAGTTCTTCTCTTAATTAGCTAGATTTACTGCCTTTGCTTTAACTTAAAGCCCCACTCATTTTGGGGGGCCTTTTGCCTCAGATGTGCCCTCCACTTCTTGCACTCCCGCTGAATTGTGAAAGAGCCAATAAATACTGGTGATCCAGAAAAATCCTTGTTCTAGATCCAAGAGCGTTTGATCTTCCTGGACTCCCAGTAACATGCTGTCTCTTTTATTTAAGCCTGCGCTGTAGCTTGTTTTAGGAGATGGGGCGCTCCGGCCAAGTCCCTGATAACAGACAGTGTGTCATTCACGAGACATCCGGGAACATGAGACCCATAAGAAACAGAGTGTCTCCCAAAAGATGTTCAGGCAGTTCCTCGAGAGATCTGAGAGGAGATTAGGATAGGGCTGGTAGAGAACTTTGGCCATTAATTTAACCCTACTATTTACTACAGCTGGACACATAAAGTTGCTATATTTGTGCATTAAAAGATACTATGGATAATAAATATTAGAACATACATTTTTTTTCTCCACCTCCAAAAGAAGTCTGACACGCTTGAACTCCCTGGTTAAGCATCCACTCTCCCAGAAATTTAAGTACATAGTACATGGTAAAAGGGTTGTTTACATTCACAGATGCTATTCAGTAAATCTCTGAGAAGAACTGGAACCTACGTGTTTTCAGTTTACGACAGTATTCTCTGTAAATACAGCAACCGTCAAGTGAAGAGTTAAAGACCATTATCGGCCTTCCTAAGTTGCTACTTTGCTAGTACTTGACTTGTACCTCACTGAACACCAATGAGAGCAAGCTCTGACAGTGAGAAGCGCCACAGGTTTTGCTCACTTCCATCTACAGGACTGGCAAAAACAATTTATATCTTTTCCTTCCTCAGTAAGAAGCACAGATTAAAAATTATCACACAGTGATGTGCCGGTAGACTGCTCTTCAGGAGGAGCAAAAATAAGCCCTAACGAGTAGCACTTTCTGGCTTCTGCAGTGTAAATAAACACATCATGGATTGTCTTAAGCCTTCAACAATTTAACAGCTTACTTTCAAGTTTTTTCATGTAAAACTGGTACACACTGGCTCTAGCATTTCAATGCAAGTTGCCATAGTTACCATACATAGTTGTAAGATTCATTCCTTTTGTGACAAAACTGCTACAGGACAATGAATGATAATAAATAACAACGTGGTTGAAAAAACCATTACAGCTATGAGTCAATACATGGAACACTGCCACCGCTGCCTGCTGCTACCATACATTTAACATGTATTTCTTGAGTCCCCACTCACTACATCCCATAAACAGGTTTCAATAAACAGCCTATAAACCTTTTTGAAGAAAATCTTTTTGCTCAGTCTTTGCTTTTGGCACACAGGCTACACAACTTTTGACTTTGAGACTTCACAATAATTAGTACCTTTAAGTTTTGTTTAAAAGTCAGTGAAGTGCCCCTCTTGGGAACCTGAACCTGTGGCATACTCACCAAAATACAATCATCACTGAGATTTTTCTAGAGGGTGATTAGATGACAACATCTCATGACTGACGGCAACAAAAGTAATTCAATGGAAAATTGGGCCCTATCCCTAAGCAACAGTGAAGTGCTGAATTTAATTTAAATATGCTGTGATCAAGTTTGTATTTTGTAAGTATCACTCAGTTGCTTGGTGAATAGATTGGAAATTGGGAAGATAAAGAAAAGGTGGTTGTAGTAACACAGGTAAGAGATAATTTTGAAAGTGGTCTGCTTCCAGTATTATAGAAACAAGAGTATTCAGACCAATTCCCACCCTCATTCCTTACCCTCTGTTGTAGTCAGGGTTTGCAAGGAGAACAATAAATACAGGACACATAATTTGCAGGATTATTTTATAATAGTCACCCCAAGAATCAAGTTCAAAAGAGTACAGAAAATCTGTCCACACACTAAAGACCCAAAGAATCCAGCTGAGGGCCTGGATCCCAGGGCAACATCCTGCATGAGTCCAGCTGAAGACCTAGAGCCCATAGCAATGCCTCCTGTGAGTCCAGCTGGAGGCCTAGAGCCCATGACAGTGTCTCATGCGGGCCTATTTCACGGATCTGTGCTGGGAAGGCCCAAAGGTCAGTGGTGGAATCTAGAAAGTCTGTGCCAGCGGGATGAAGGATCTGTGCTAACAGGCTGAGGGATCTGCACTGGACCCAGGAAGCAACGCTCAAAGTGAAGACCAGAGCTCCCCCAAAGTGAACCATAGCCATCCTCATGACAACAAGGTCCCGAACTCCTTCAATGCTGAGAACAGCCATGTTCCTATCAGGAAAGCCCGCATGACAAGCTCCTCCAGGAAAACCAACAGCCCCAAGAGAACCAGCAGCTCCCTAGCAGCTTCTAAACTTCATTCCTCTCCAGCTCTGCCTGTTATGCTTCCAGCAGCAATCCCCAAGTGGGCCTTCCATACCCAGCACCCTGCTGGTTCAGTTCAGTTGGGTGTTACAAGCTGATCACCAGTTATCAATCCACCACATTCCCAAAACAACTAAAATGATGGATTAAAAAGAAAACAGCTGGGCGTGGTGGTGCACGCCTGTAATCCCAGCATTCCGAAGGCTGAGGCAGGAGGATCCTTGCAAGTTCAAGACGGGCCTGGGCTACAAAGTGAGCTCAAGGCCAGCCTGAATTGCATAGCGAGACTCTGTCTCAACAAAAAAAAAAGAAAAAAATAAAACTTTCTTAAAAGCATCACTGACAAGACAGAAATGTCAAGCCAAAATCTAGGTAAAAGTAGAAATCCAAAGTCAACGATGGTACTGCTGCTGGACTTACCCAAAGCATATATAACCTGAGTGTCAGGGACAACCATACATCACCTCCCTAACTCTACTCAGATTCTACAAGAAAAGTTATCATTGCACAAAACAAGGGTAAAGGGAGGAACACCTCTGAGAAAATATGACCAGAATCTAACCCTTTACAGATTTGTAATCTCAATTCACAACCCCTGAAGGAAAACATTGTGAGCTGTAACTTTAGTTTCAAGTGGACCCAATCTAGTACTGACAGGCAGCAGTAAACCCACATAACTATGAAAGAACGGACCTTCAACCTAGGCCTCAGGAAAATACAACAAGTCATTTTTAAGGATAATTACACACTTAAAAAATAAACGTACAAGGAAATAAACTAAAAGAATTATCAGAAGTAGCCAGCTGTACAAAGCCTTCAGAAGTACGTGCTGTCAGAACTATGTATAATTGTAACATCAGTTGTATCAGTAAATGTAATTTACCACGAAGAGGCTGACACACAGGGGAGCTTGTTTACCGGAGGATGAGCGGGATACTGGAATGGACCGGAGAACGGGAGGCAGCTGGAGACTGGGATTGGAAGGGGAAGGAGAGCAGACCTTTTACCATACACACCACACAAATACACACACACACACATGTCCTCAGAGGAGGGAGAAGAAATGTCCCTTCCCAAGCCAAACTCCATTCTAATAAAACTAGTTACGCAGCTTGCATAACTGTATTTTATCTCAGTAGACATTTCTGGTAATTTGAACTACCAGAAAACAAAAGGGAAGGGGGAAGAAAGTGTTGTAAGAGTAGAATTTGTAAACATTTAGTGTTGTAACAGGAAAAAGAACAGAAGTCGGTTGGGTAACTCTCAACAGGAAGCCACTGTGAGCTTAAATTCTGAATTCTTACCAGGTAAGGGCAACACAACCATTACCCCAATATAAAAAGGACCACTAAATATCTTTATTTGTTTGAAAAAGGATACAGGTTATTCTACATAGATCAAAAAGCTCTGAATGTTCATGCAGACATTTCCAACTTCTAGGGCAATTACCCTGCCACTGCCAAAGATATGTATGCTCTTGGCCACGTTTATTCTAAGACAAAGACTGAGATAATCTCAATAAATTCCACAGTGTTGATAAAACATATAAGCCTACCTCCTCTGGAAAACTGCACTTTTTTGGCACTGAGTTTCATTACAGGAGGAAGGAAATGACTCAAAGCTACTTTCCATCTCCTGTTTTTGCTCTGGGAAAGTAGGGCCTGGCCCGCGTACACAGAGATGACCTCTGAATGCCCTCCAGCTTAAGACAGCCAAAGCTAACAGTACAGCTCTTCTCTCAAAACCACCTGAAGTTAAAGACATCTACCTGATATATCCAAGAACAAGTAACTTACCCTGTTCCAAATTTGCTGAAGTCCCTCTTGGATTGCAGAGTATATACAGTCATACCAAGAAACACAGCAGTGGTCAGTATAAAAGCTTGCAGAACAACATATACATCATAGGTGGTAACTGTAAAATTGAAACACTGATTAAAAGTATATATAAACATACTCTACAAAACAGCCTTTAATAGGAATGCAGGAGCTGGAGATACAGCTCAGCAGGACAAGTGCCTGCCTGGCAAGCACAAGGTCCTGAGTTCTATTCCCAGGATAAAAAAAAAAAAAAAAGTATGAATGCATTTAATAGAAATGCTTTATGCTCTCCTGTGCTACTCACCAATAAAAACAATTAAGAAAAGATTCCTCATCCAGCCTTCAACATACTGGTGCAGTAAAATCACAAGCATAAATGCTATAAACAGGCTCCAAAAATTCATTTACACAAAATAAAGGGGTCACATTAAGATGCAGTTAATGAAATGACTATACAGGTATTACACAGTTAACTAGTGAGGAGTTTTAGGGATACGGTCAGAATGAGTCCGGTCATTCTGTCCCCACTGCAGCCCAGCATCACCTTTGATGCCCGCTCACTACGGCTCATCTACCAACAGAATGACCCTGGGTCCTCCAGCTGGTTGGGAACTCCTGGACAGTAGCTGTGTTAGCAGTCATCCGGTGAGCTGTGCCCAGTTTATCAGCCCAACTCAAGGGAAGTGAGCAAGGGGAATACTGGGGCTTTCTGGGGTGGCCTGCCCTCTACCTAGCCTGCAGAGGACACAAAACAATCATTAATTGCGTCACATCTGAATCTGCATTATCTTGGAGTACGTTCTTGTGAGGTTTGCCGAATACGTACCAAATTCTCTTTTCTAACTTCACAATGATCATACAGGTTGGCTATGGCTATTATACTACAACTCCTTAACATTTAAGAAATGCTAAATTGTAACTTCTTTAAAGGAGATTAAGGGCTTTAAACCCAAACCACTTAAGCAACTTTTAAATTTTCAAGAACTAATTATCCACATTATTTCTCCCCTTAAATTAGTCGAATTTCTCTACTTGTGACAGGATTAGGACAGTGAACATAGAAAAGATAAAACTTAACAATCAAATTTGCTTCTTGTTAATAATTTTAGTACTCAATCAAGGGGGAAAAATATTACACTTAGAGAGAAAAATAATGTTCCCAGGTTATCCCACCCCACCCAATTCCAATAAACCTGACCTAAATCTCTCTCCTCTTTCCACATGGTGGACACCAGGGGGAGAGACGACCTTCACAACATTCGCAGTAAGTGCCGGACAGAGACAGCAGCACTAACACGCACAAGCTAATACGTATCAAAGCTTCCTTTCTATACTGAGAGGCTGCAACTCTGTTGTAGTATTTCTTACTATTGATTTATATTCTGATTCTATTAAAAAGTAGTGGCCTGCCAAAAAAACACAGAATCCAGAAAACTTGCACGGAAAGGTTAAGAACAGTAACGACAAAATCGGAAGAAATAAATATATTAACCCTAATTGTTAACAGCTTGCTGTTATCCAGGATAATGGTTACCACTAACCTGTTTGATACCCACTGTAACCACCCTGAGACAATCATAAGTCTTGTTAATTTACTGAGATTTTTTATTTGAGGTATTACAAAGGGTAATTCAAACAGGACAGATATCTGGCCTTCAAACACATATTTAATATGAAAGATAGAAACAGAAATTAATATTGTTTCTGTAGTGTCATTAGTAAAAAACAGAAGATACAACAGTATCTCAGGCAATTCTGAGGGAGCTCATTTCAGGTACATAGCTCAAAACACATGGTCTTAATTCCTCCAAGATCCCTTTAAATCACGGAAATGATTAGCTATGGTTGTCTTATTTTCATAAATAAGTACACAGAAATGAAATATTGTTCTCCATCCATTTACTTTCCTTAAACTTTTCCACTTCCTGTACGCTCAGCTTTACTATGTAAAGTATAAATATTTAACTTTTATTTACATTTTGGGCGATCTCTGACCTATGCCATGCTTTTTAAATATGACATTCTATGAAGTTAAAGTTTGATCTCAAATACCTCTTACCTAAAAGATTTATGCACAATAAAGTTATTGTAACATAGAAGTGGAATCATGGCTTACCTACCACTGCCACAGTCAAAGCTTCCAAAAGTGTCTATAAAAAAGAAATTGAAATTAACTAGTGTATGTAAAACGTACACTGCCTCATGTGCATTTTCTAACTTCTAGTAGTTCAAAGTGATTCCCTATGAATGATTTCATTTTCCCTTCAAAGCGTCCCTGTCAAGTACATAGGACAGCTATTAGGCCCACCGTAATCCGAAATGAGACCTCGATGCACCAAGTGAGTATATTTAAATTCTAATTACATTATTTTACTTGTGGTTCCATCACTCTTTATTTAAATATACTCATTTAATTAGCATTTAAATATGGTTCCATTACTCTTTATGCTCTAATCAGACTTTTCACATCTGTAAGAATTTGAGATTATATAGTAGAAAGGGAGATTATACAGCAGAAATTACATAGAAAATTCCATTTTCTCTGAAAATCATTTAGAAAAACTTCAGTATCTCAAACATTTAGAAGAAAAAATAATTAGGTAGTACTTTGATGTGGAAGTCCTAAAACTGTCAATATCCAGTTTTACTTTCTTCCTTAGTAATAGAATTATTACCTGGATACCTGACTGTTCAGATTAAACATTACATTTTTTATTCTCCCTTGCTGCTAGGTCTGGTTACATGACTATATTCTAGCCAATTTAATGTGAGTAGAGAAGTACACAACTTCTAGATTGTGCTCTAAAAGCATAAAGTTTGCTCTCCCACTTTTCCTATCTTTTTTTTTTTTCTTGCTTGGTAACTAGTACTACATGGACATGGTAGTGAGCTATCTTATATCATGCGACTTTTTGCTTCCGGAAATCCAACTCACAATCTCACACTTGCCAGGCAGGCGCTTGCACCACTGACCCATATCCCCAGCCCCCAAGACCTAGAGATCTCAACTCTCTTGTTTCTTTTTTCTTTCTCTCTTTTTTTTTTTTTTGGTACTGGGAATCAAACTTAGGACCTTGTGCTTACGAAGCAAGGCATTGTGCCACTGAGCTATATCCCCAGCTCTATGCAAAACTTTAGGAATACCTCAACCATAGTGGGGGCCTGGGCCCTTGATAACCTCATTAGTCATTCAGATTCTTATATGAAAGAGAAACTACCTTGTTTAAGCCACTGTTATTTTGTCACTGTTTGACCCATGACACATGTAGTTGAACTCATATTCTATATAAAATATTTGAACTCATGTCCTAAATTAAAAATTGGGGGAATATTAAAGATTGTCTTGTATCCTTGCTTTCCTCCTAATTACATTATTTTACTTTGTCTTATATGCTTATTCTCATTGGATTTTACCAACCATCTGATAGACCATACAACAAAAGCAAAGCCAAAAGTAACAACAGAAGCTGTGCGATACACTTTTGGTAAAAGCTTTCCCTGTACCCCTTCCTACCTGAAATCAACAGAACACTGAACAAAAGCCAAGTGGTTTTAGGAATTACAGATAGATGTGGAGGCAGTAAAGCTGTGGCCATGTTTTAATGTTATGGGAGTATCAGGGAAGGTGCAGCGAAAGATGACAGAAATATTCTTTGGTGAGGAATAGAGTTATACTATACTCTTGACATTCATGATATAATTTTAGAAAAGAAATCCCACCTTCCCCCCATTCAGGTATCTGAGGGAGATATGACAATATAAATGAGAGTAAATATAAGACTAGGTAAACAGAACACTATCCCAAATGAATACCCTCTTTAAAAAGCGCGCGCGCGCGCGCACACACACACACACACACACACACACACACACACACTCCCCTTCTTTTACTTGGGTGCAGAAAGACAAAAAAAATTAGAGGTCACAGACTAATCCAAAAAAAATGTATTTTATGTACTTCCTTACTGTTAAACTATGCTACCTATGGCATGATGAATAGGTTTAGCAATAAACGACCATTTTATCTAAGCATGTGGCTAACGCTTTCCTAGTAAGGCCACGCCTGCTGGGCAGTAACTGTCCCATAAGCTCTTCCCACGCCGAACTCAGTCCTTCTTAAAGGAGGCTCTCTGAAGATTTGAAGACGAAATGGACTTGACCCTCTTTTTACGTCTCAGGAAGCGCCCCTGGCACGCGCTGACTGGTATGCAGCTCGGCGCACATCCCCAGGAGGTGGAAGCCGACCGAAGAACCAGCCATGCATGCGCTGGCTCACGATCCGCAGTGGGAGCTGCACCAGTAGGACGATTTCTCACTCAGGAAAGTAAAGTCAAGAAGATCAAGTGACGGCAGGGGCGCGAGGGCTGAGAGGCGAGCATGAGCGCCAGCAGTCGGTCGCACAGCACTGAAGACAGGAAAAAGGAACACAGCGTGCAAGGACGGCAGGAGGCAGAGGAGAGACACCCTGGAGCAGGAGAGAAGAGACTACAAGCCCCGGCCCCGGACTCCCTGCAACAGCGCCATTTCTAGGCTCTTCCCGCAGTCCCTTGGCTTAAGACCTGGTGGGTCCGGACTGGCAGGTGACTGCGCTCTTACATCTTTGAATAACTCCCTGTTGCTGGAGATGCCTTGGGTTAGGGGTGACAAACCTGCAAACGTATGGGGTTAGGATTTAAGGGAATAGCATCTCCTATAACTGCAATTCCCGAAGTCTTGAGCTTTTCTTTCATCATGTTAACACAAACTCTGTAAGAATTCACAAACTTTCCTATGTCCATCAACAGATGAACGGATAAAGGAAATGTATTTAGACTCAGTGGAGTATTACTGTGCCATAAAGAAGTACAAACTTGAGTCACCTGTAGGAAAATGGCAGCAGCTTGAGACCATAGTGTTACATGAAACCCAAAACATTTAAATAAATTTTAAAAACCAAAATAAAAAATAAATAGGAAGCAGGCACATAGTTCTTTAGCAAAAGGGAAGGTAACCAAGAGACGGAGGGAAGGAGGAGGAGGGGAGAAAAGAGGCACGAAGAAAGAATGCAGGTCTGTTCCATGTACGTGTCGACTCCCCACTCGAGTACAGTCACTATGTACCACAGAAATGGAGTACTGAAGAGCAAAATTAAAAGAAAGAACCCACAAGCTTTCTTTAATTTGAAGCATTTTAATCTCACCAACAGCGTTTGCACTCTTACTTGACTGCAAACATTCTTCTTACTAGTTTGGAATGTTTGGAAGTAAATTTCCACTTTAGAACTCAAAGTCCTATGAGATGATCAAAAATATGGTGAGCCGTACAATCTTACTCAACCAAAGATTTAATTTTTAGAGGTGACAGCTGAAGTCTTAATTTTCATAACTATCTCAACAAATCTAACGTCAAGTTCTCCAAGCTAGGCACCTCGCTGTAAACCCAGGAGGCCGAGGCAGGAGGATCACAAGAGCAAACCCAGCCTGGGAAACTCAGTGACTTAATGAGACCGGTCTCAAAATAAAAAATAAAGGAAGAGCTGTGGGTGTAGCTCAGAGCAAAGGCCTTAGGTTTAATCCCTAGTACCACAAAAATAAAATAATAAAATAAAATAAGAAAAAGAATTTAAGTTCCATGAAATTAAGGCTACAATGTAACGGCCCTCATCACAGACTATTTGAGGTAGAATGTATCACAGGGATTATCTATCTTAATACTTTCATTTGGCATATAAGAAAAGCTAAGTGCTTTGCTAAATAGCACACAACCAGATAGTCATCTGATTCCCATTCAACACTTTTTCCACTAAATCCTAAGACTGAAAGAAACTCTGTTGAAATTAACAAATCTTTAAAAATTCTAAAAGACTACAAATTACAAATAATTTCCTAAAATACTCTAATTTAATAGAAAACTCAATTTTGTTCATCATTCACTTAAATAAGTATTTTGAAAAGTCAGGCTAAATGTTAAAAGAATACACACTGTCGAGGTACTCACAAAGCCAAAGAGCAGGTACAGGTTGAGGGGATGCTTGTGTCTGTACAAAGCCAGCGCAACCATCAAACCCAAAGCTCCAAAGGCAAACACCAAAATTAAGGCAGGACTAAAAGACATGATATCGCAACATTTCAAGTGTTAAAATAGCATGAACAGTGCTATCCAACTTAATAAAATTTATCTACTTTTTACGTTTATAAAAGTATACGAAAAAATCTAAAATGATCCATACCAAACTATCAAGAGGAATATTTTTATACCTGGAAAATCTGCGGGGGGTGAGGTGAAAATCAGTGGGACAAAAAGAAAAAAGCCCACAGTGATAGGGAGAGACATTCCTTTATTACTCCAAGATTTTCTATCCATTTGAGTAATGTTTGTAATTACTGTATAACTAAAAAACAAATAAAAAATAAACAAAATAAACAAAAAATAAATTTTACACATAACCATTTTTTTAGGTATTTACCATATGACTCTACTTTAAATTATTTTACACCAAATAGTGAACTAATGCTTAAGACTCTTCTTTGGTAAGGAAAGGAAAATAGAAATTCTTTACTTCTAAGAAAATACTCTCTATTTTTCCTTTCCTTTAATATAAAGAAATGGTATTTTTAGCCACAGAAATAATTACATTGGAGATAAAATCTCTATTAAGGACCAATCAATAGGGGCCCTTCTGGAAACTTCTCAGTAAAATTATCCTACTCACCAGACAAAACTAAAATAAGCATGCATTTATTAGGTAATCTTTTTTTTTTGAGCACTTTTGTAGGCTTTGGGGTTAGGGTAAGTAGTCTAATACAGTACAAAAAATAATTAAGACAAATTACATGCAGTAAAAATTCTTACTATTCTTTCAGGAGATAAGGGCTTAATGCTAAGAAACTATAAACTAAAAAGAGAACACACCCTGCTGTGGGATATTTTCCTTTACCAAAAACAAAACTAACTTAACTTGTAGAAGTTACATAATGATTTTTTTTACATTTCACCTCAGAAGCCAATAAGAAAATAAAGAACTTTTTAAAAATATATGCCCTTTCAATCATATGCAATATCTGAAAATACTTGAGAATCATCTCATTACCTTACCTTTCAAACACAAATGTTCGTACAGACTCAAAGTATAAGAACACTGCAGAGGTTACTGTAGTTAAGAGAACTTGCAGAGACAGGATACTGTAGACTTTCCTGAGAAAGCCTAAAAGAGAAAAATATTACATATGACTATTTGCTTAGGTATTTATCACAGAACTACATGATCAAATTTCTTCTTAGAAAAATTAAATTACTACATGGATTCTTTCTTAAAACAATCTAAATAATGGAATCTATAACTGAAACTAGGGAGGAAATGCCTCCCAAATAATTAAAAAAATTGTAGGGGATATCTAATCCCCCAAAATTCATTAAGTTTAAAAATTAAGGGCGGGGGGTTTAGCTCAGCAGCACAGCGCCTGCCTGGCAAGCACAAGATCGTGAGTTCGATTCCCCATACCGGGAAAAACAAAACAAAACAAACAAACAAAAAATTAAGTAAATGGGACAGATTGTAAATGTTTTCATCAAAATAAAAAGAAAGTATCAAATGCCTCATACAACTGTGCAAAAGACTAAAAACAGAACATTTTTTATAGAATAGCTCTATCTTGGATCTGAAAAGCAGAAATAGAAAGCATATAGTTAGATATAAATCTTTTAGTCTTAAAATCTATAGCAGTAAAAATGTTTCCCCCAGATGAAACATTCTTAAAAAGCAAATAAGATACAAACTTTATTTACAGTACCTATCCCTCTAGTGTCTCCGCAATAGGAAACTCTTTTATTATCAACACCTATAAAATCAACTCCAAATCCTAACAATTTAAGAATGATTTAAAAATATTTTTAAAGTACTATATCTGAAAAAATCGCCTTAGAAAGGGAAAGGGTTTATCCAGGCCACGGTTTGGAGTTCCCAGCCTCTGGCCAGCTGGGCCCGCTGGCTGGAGCCCGGCGGGGGGCAAGGCGGCACACGGCACGGCGGCGGCAGCTGGTGCAGCAAGGGCCCCACTTCCCGGCCAGGGAGCAAAGGGCCAGGACGGCCGCCGGGTCGCACAGCCCTTCAAGGGGAAGCCCTCTGGACCTAAGGCCCCATTTCGAGAGGCGCCACTACTTCCCAGTAGCGCCACCCTGAGGACAAACCTTTTAACACACGGGCCTTTGCGGAATATTCATCCCCGCCCCGTTTGTAGTGATATCTACATGTATTACTGTCTATTACACATTAGAGGGACTACCGCTAATTAGAAGGGCTATTTCAGGACAGCTAGAAGAGAGGATTTTGAATGTTATCACTACAAAGTGTTGCTGGATATACTAATTACGCTGAATTAATCATTATACAATGTACATACGTACCTAAATATCACACTCTATCCCATATGTACAATTATTATGTGTAAATTAAAAATAAAATTTAAAACACTACAATCCCAGCTACTGGGGAGGCTGAGGCAGGAAAAGCACATTCTTGTTTCACACCTTTAGCTACTAACCAATCATCTTTCAAGGATTGGCCTTTCTTGGTCCTCTAGTGTGAATGAGATGTTTCTCCTTCGTGTTCCCAAGGGATTCTCATGGCTTTGTAACTAATAAGCCTACTTGCCCTTTACCCCCATTGGACTATGAAGCATAAAAACTCCCTAGTAGTAGAGACTAACTCACCCTTTTCCAACCCGGTGTGTAAAACATGAAGATTAGCAAAGAACTAAACATGCGAATTATCCTTAGTGGCACTATGCAGAGAAAACCATGCACACCCGAACGTGCATTATGCGAGTCTTTTAATGTCGGCTACGCAAACATACTCAAATAAACATTAGGCCTTTCGGTACACGCTCTACCAAAGGAAGAGGTGACGGTGTGTGTGACGTCCGGGACTGAGGCACAGAAGGCCCTGCGGCTCCCTCCTCGCCCTCACGGGCGGCTGGCCCGGGCCGGCAGCTCCAGCGCCGAGAGCGAGGCTAGGAGCCGCACGGAGGGTCTGGGCGGGAAGGCACTGCGGCTCCTTCGGCAATCACGAGTTTCCAGGCGCAGGCCCTCGTCCCAGGGGAGTCTAAAGGCCTGCAAGCTGCCCGACACCCAGGCTGAACTCTCACCGAGCTCCCGGGTCAGAACCACCCTGCCAGCCACGCCCCGGCTCCTCCACCCTCACAAACTGGCATGACACATATTTGTAGTCTTAAACCACTACATTTTGGGTGATTGTTACAAAGTATTCGACAGTAGCGCCCTGGCTGGCTCCTTCTCATACCAAGCAGCTGCCACACCCCTGCGGCGTCCTGTGCCTTCAGCAGAAGAGGCGCCAGCTCAACCCCTGCTTCTAGTCACCCCTCAGGCCCTCTCCCCCGACAGCGTCTCAGGGCTGGTAATCCACTCACTGTGCACCTCTTCCGGGTGCGGCTTTCTCACTCCCACCCGAGTGACCACTCTCAAGACCAGGACACTGTCCTTCGCTCTATTTCTAACATCCACTAAGAGCCCAAGTAAGTTCTATGAAGAAAACGCTCACCTTCACTCACACAGCTAAAGAAACACAAACTAAAACAAGGGAATTTTCTTTTAACCCACACAAGATCCAGCAAATGACAGCGCTCTGGCCAAATCCAGCCCACTATGGGCTTTTAAAAATTATTATCATTAAAGTTTATTGGTATTTATAAGTTTTCTTGGGACCTCGTCACACTTACTGGTTATATATCTTCTACAACTTTTGAACAGTTGTAGCAGGGTTGAAGAAAAGGGACAGAGACCACACAGCCCACAAAGCTAAAAAGATTTACCCTGTGGACCTTGTAGAAAATGTGTGCCACTCCTAATCTACGAGAGCGACAGAGATTAAGCAGTGCGATGACAGTGTGGGTGAAGGTACCATCTCCCTGGGGGACACTCGATGACAGCAACCCAGCTTAAGATGCACGTATCTTTTCTTCCTACAGTTATACTTCTAAAAGCGTATCCTGTAACAGTCTTGGATAAATTACAAAGACACGGAAGGATGTTCTCTAAAGCACTACTTGAGGGAATAAGAAGAAACTCACAACTATCACGCGGAGATGGTGAGATTACGGTAACTACACGCTACGGACGACCACAGCTGCTTCAAATACTGCGATGAAGCTCTGTGTACTGGTATTTTTTAATGTGAGATGTAAGTGAAAATACAAAGCTGCAGAGCAATTACATGCACAACATGGTCCTATGGGCTGTAAGTTACAGTCTTGAGTCTATGAAATAATAGAATCTTTGTTTTTAAAACCATACCTATGAGGGAGGGGAGGGGAAAGGAAAGTAACAAGATGTGTTACGGACACGTGCCAACCCCTTAGGATGAGTGTGGTCGTTTTGTAACACGAAGACGTAGAGACAAAAACTTTAAAAATAAATTAAAATCTTAACACAAAAATACACATATACCATACTGTTAAAACAGACAAGAGACTACCATCCATTACAGACTGCAGTAGAAGAGTTAAATTAGTTTAACTAGCACCACAGAAGTGCTTTAGGCAGAGAGTACATTGAGAAATTCATTCCCATATAGTTTTTCTATAGCTTTATATTTGTTTCTCCACCGATGAGCCTTATTACATATCTGTAGCATTTTACAGGTATCTTTTGGAAAATGTACACATCACACACGGCTAGTTTGTATTTAAACAAACAGAGCATTTTTCAGAGACCTTTCCACTTCAAATCTCTATCGCGGTATGGCTCTGCGCCCACACGCCTCCCGGGGCTATGCTCACTCACAAACTTGCACCGCTCTGAGTGTGAGCTAACTCTCCGCTGTCTCACATTTAAAATGCAGAGATGCAAAACAAGCTGGTAACGATGGCTGGACTTAAAGCACGAGACGGGGCAAGTTTCTGCAGGACAAATACCCAGAAGAGGTAGCTCTGCGGCAGCGGCAGCACACTGCCCTCCCGGCATCCCCTGTCACAGGTCCAGACTGCATCCATCAGGCTATGTGCTTAGGAAGCAAAAACTTAAATACAACAATTTATCTGAAAAGGAATCAGAAACAAAGGCCTGGGGTTTAAACCTATTTTGCCACACTTCTACCATCTTTACAAGAGAAATAACAGAGTGCCCAGGAGGTGCAGGAGTGGCCTCTGGCGTGCAATGGCAGTGGTGCACTGTAACTCACCAGTGCAGTGTAAACAAGCTAAAATCACTGAATTACGATCGCTGAATTTCGTTGTGCTTGTTTGCATCACCAGTCTAGCAAAAATTCCAAATAATCTCTCGTTATCAATATCAACAAACTAAAGATGAATTTTAATTTATTAAATTAAAAAGAAATGGAGTATTTTTGGACTAATCTCTTAATTAGTAAAGAACCCATGAAGATGGGATCCCTTACTCAATACAAATGTAGTCAGCTTATTCACCGGTCCAGTTTCCAGGGCTCCTAAATGAAGGGCTCCCAATAACTCCTTGTAGCGAACAAACGCTTATTGAGCATGTATTTGGTACTGCAGCCAGCAGCACTACACTAATGTACAGTGTAAGACTAATTCTTCTTCATTAAAAACAGTCCACACAGCTGGATGTGATGGCTCACCTTTGTAATCCCAGCACTCTTGGAGGCTAAGGCAGGAGGACACCAAGGTTAAACTCAGCCTAAGTAACTGGGAAACTCACTTACTTAGAAACACTACTTCATGACTTTTGAAGGCTCAGGACTGTAATTTATAATCCACAGGACCACATTATGCACATACTTGTTCTTACTTTCAAGACCTTGTCTCAAAATTTAAAAAAAAAGAATTCAAGGGCTGGGAATGTGTTCCCAGGGTTCATCCCCAGTACCACAAACAAAAGAAAACAAAACAGGTCTATATACGCAGGAATGGAAAGAAGGGTTCTTCTACGCATTGGTAAAACTAGTTTTTAGTGCCAGCATTCTTGCAAAGAACTATGCTGTAAAACTAGGTAAGTTTTTTTGAAACTTAGTTTCTTAAAAAAAAAAGTGCATATACTGTATTTTATCTGACGGACTGTAATTCTAGGAAAAGCAACTGTACAATTCTTACAGATTTTTGAAGCATAACACCAAAATGCCAGGAGTAGTACTTCTAGTCTAAGTTAGAGAAGCTTCACTGTAGAAAATAACTGCCTGGCACTTACAACTACTGCTATATCACAGCACCTATAACAAAGAAGGTATGTAAGGGTTAGAACGGCAGAGTGATCTGCCTCTCTATGACTGTCAACAAGGACTATGCTTAATTTTCAGACCTTTAAATTAGGGCTGTTTCTACTACACTGTAATATTCTCCAACAATAATGTCAAAGGCTTTTTTTTTAACACTATGATACGGCATGACACTTCCACCCTTCCATTTCTCATCACAAATTTGCTCTCCTTACCCTCACCCCCGGATTTTCTTCAGTTGGCCAAACCCAGCCCTTCAATAGGATTCCACTCTTGAAGTTTTCCCGGAATACTTCAATTCACACATGCTCACTTCCTTCCACAAACTCCCTCCCCCACCTCAAACTTGGCACTTTAGAATTTAATAAATCTGCCGTCACGGATCAGTATGCCTACTGACCAACTTAACTAATGCCTTAAAAAGAGTGGCTGTGATTTCCAAAAATTATTAATATCACACTGTCTTTACATGGAGAAGGGGTTGCTCAAAAATATTTTATTTATTAAATGCATATTAATGATTCAAATATCTCCTTAATGGAAGTTTCAAGGTCTCTTTAATGAATATCTTCTATTTAAAAACTCAATACCACATCTATAGAAATTTCTGAAAATTCGCAAATCATATATTTGTAAGAGGATAATACCTCGGCTATATAAAAAAAAATGCTACAACTTAATAAAAGCAAAAACTAACCTGATTTTAAAATAGACAAGAGGGTGGCGCACACCTGTAACCCCAGCACTTAGGAAGCTGAGGCAGGAGGATTTCTGTAAGTACCAAGCCAGCCTGGGCTACATACAGAGTTCAAGGCCAGACTAAACTATATAGCAAGACCCTGTCTCAAAATATACAAAAATATTAAAAAGAATGAGAAAAGGAAACCAGGCACAGAGGCACACACCTGTAATTCCAACACTTGGGAGGCTAAGGCAGGAGGATCGCCACAAGTTCAAGACCAGCCTGGACTACATAGTGAGTTTAAGGACAGCTTGAACTATATAACGAGTCCCTGTTTCTAATAACTAAATAACTAAATAAATAAACAAATAAATAAAAGAGAATGAGAAGACCAGCTACAACTGACAGGATATATTTGCAAAAGAATATCAAACAAAGGCTATCGTCCAAATTACATAAACTGTTTTTGAAATTCAAGAATAAGTAAACCATTTTATTAAAATATGGGCATCAGGCTTAAGGAGATAGACAGAGATCTCCCTAAAGAAAATATACAGATGGCAAATAAACATGAAAAAATGGTCAACATCATGAGTCATTAGAAAACTGCAAATTAAAGCAGCCACAAGATAGCATCACACAGCCGTTAAAACGGCCAAACCCACAACACTGACGACAGCAGATCCTGCCAAGGTGAGGAACAAGAGCTTCCACGCGCTGCTGACGCGGCACAAACGCGGAACATACTTTGGGGGTGTCTCGCAAAACTAAGCACACTTTTACCGTAGCAACTGTGCACCTTGGTATTCACCCAAACAAGCAGGAAACTTCTGTCCACACAAAAGCCTGCACATAGCCGCTTACAAAACAGTTTCAGCAATACTGCCAGAACTTAGAGACAGCCAGCGCGTCCTTCAGCAGAGGAATGAATAAACTGCTGTGCGCAGACAATGGAGTGTTTCCTAGTGTTACAAGGGAATGAAAAGATGTAGGGAATCTTAAATACACAGCACAGTACTAAGTGAAAGAATTCAACATGAAAAAGCCATATACTGTATGCTTCCAACTGTACGGCATCCTGGAAAAGAGAAAACTACAGAGACAATGAAAAGGCCAGGGGCTGCCAGTGTTCGGCGATGAGGGAAAGAGTTCTCCGGCGCAGAGTATTTTTAGGACACCGAAACAGTTCTGTGCGATACTGTTAAGGTGGACAGATGTCACGATACCTGTGTCAAAACTCATAAAATATACCACACTGAGAGAGAACCCTACTGCACACTATGGACGTCAGTAACCTGACTACAAAAAAGGTACAAATCCAGTCATATGACAACTCTGTATCTTTTGTTTAGTTTTGCTCTGAACCTAGAATTGCCTTTTAAAAGTCTATTTTTAAAAATTCACTGAGGGACTTGAATAACATTTTTCCAAAGAATACACACAAACGGTGAAAAAGCATATTTTTAAAATTCATGACATCACTAATCATTAGGGGAATGCGAATCAAAACTGAAATGAGACATCACTCCACACTCCCTCAGATGGCTATTTCCACACTGAAAAAGTGTGTATTGGCAAGGGTGTGAACAACCAGAACTGTGCACTGTGGCCAAGAATGTAAAATGGTGCAACAATACAGCAAGTCCTTAAAATATCAAAAATAAAATTACAACACAACCCAGCAATCCCACTTCTGGGTATATACATTATAAAGAAGTAAAGCAGGCTTTGGAAGAGCTATCTGCACATCAGTATTCGTAACAGCGTTATTCACACGCGCCACGAGGGAAAAGCAACACAAATGTCTATCATCGAAAGGATAAACAAAAGTTGGTATTACTCAACCTTAAACAATCCTGACATTCTGCAACATGAAGTCACCTTAAAGACATTCTAATTCAAGTCAGTTAAAAAAGACAAGACAAAGAGTGTATAGTTCACTTACATGATGCCCTCTTTCTTTTTAAGAGACAAGCTCCATAAATCCCACTGGGCTGGGTTGCAACTTGCCTGCCTCAGCTTCCCAGAGTCTTGGGATACAGGCATTTACCTGGTCTGTATGAGGTAGTTAATGCAGTCCACTTCATAAAGAAAAACTAGAACGAAGGGTGCAGAGGCAGGAGGGAGGAGGGAATGGGGAGCGGTTTACTGGGAGCACAGTTTCACTTTTGCAAGAAGAAAAACTTGTGGAGATGGGTGTGGAGCAACAGCGACATATTCAACACTACTAAGTTTAAAAATGGTTAAAATGGTAAATTTCACGTTACGTACTTTCTAAAACCACAATCCAATTGTTTTTAAAAGTCCGCTCACTTGCCAAAACAATTTCAAAACTCCAGTGTAGAGGCATAGATGCCAGGCACCAAGATTCTTAATGCATCAGAACTATCTTCACGCTTCCTTTCTCAGAACCAGTCCCCGCCGCCCGGAGAAAGCCAGAGACCCCGGGCAGCGCCCGCGATCGCACGGCGGGACTAGAGCGGAGGGACGGACTCCACCTCCAGGACCCCGCGCACGGTAGACGCAAGCTGACGCCGGCGCGGGGCGCCGCACGGACACGTTAAACCGAGGCGGCATTCTGCCTGACGCGGGAAGCTTTTATTTCCAACAACTTCCAGAATACTACTCCGACGCAGGTCACGCCGCACGCCCTGCGGAAGACGACGACGGGAGGCCGGTGCGTGCATACTTCCGGCAGGTGCGTGCACACTTCCGGCAGGTGCGTGCATACTTCCGGCAGGTGCGTGCACACTTCCGGCCGGGCGCGCCCGCGGAGAACGCGGCTCACGCAGGTGCGCGCGCAGCCCGACCCGGGGCGGGCGGGGC